GTATAAAATGTCACTAGTAGTAAAGGACCCACCTGCCAATGCAGGCGACACGGGAGATGCGGGCCACAGGGCTGCAAAGAGTCAGACACAGCTGAAGCACCTTAGCACACATAACTGCCTTACAGCGTCGCTCGGCTCTATGCATACATCTGTCACCTCCCTCCTCACTCTCCCTCCCACAGAACCCCCATCCCACCAAGTCATCACCGAGCCCAGGCTGAGCCCTCCGCTATGCAGCAGCTTTCCACTAGCTATCCATCTTACACATGGTAGTGTAAAATAACAAAATTAGAACACTGCCTAACACCATACCCAAACACAAACTCAAAATTGATAAGAGACCTAAATGTAAACCCAGGAATTATAAAACATTTAGAGGGAAACACAAGAAAAACACTCTGTGACAAACCACAGCGAGATCTTTTTTGGCCCACCTCCTAAAGCAGTGAAAGTAAAAATGAAAATAAACAAATGGGACCTACTTAAACTTCAAACTATGCACAATAACCTGGACAAGGAAGCAACCCAGGTGTCCACTGAGAGATTAATGGATAAAGAAGATGTGACACATACATACAGAAGTCATTTCTAAGCAGAACAAATAGAGAAGTGTCAAACACAAGAGAGCTGCTAATGGAACTTTGAGAACAGAGAATATTGTTAAGGACAAATAGGATGATAGTTTGAGAACATGTGGCAGTGTCCAAGATTAATTTGGGAACAGCAAACAAAGAGGCCTATTGATGTGTACACTTTTTTCCTCAGGACAAGATGGCCAGCCAAGTGCAGTTAATTAACAGTGAAAAATAATTAAAAATAAACACAGAATGAAAACACAACAGAAGAAAAAATAAATAAATACAAAAACAAATCCAGAAAACAATAGAAATTGGCAATAGCTTGATAGGCAGAAACAAAGATTACTACAAGCAGTGGTGAAAATTAATAGGAACCCCAGACTAAAGAGTTGTTGGTTAGGGATTAATTGCTAGAACAATATGGATAATAATAGCAAGGGCAATGTGACAGTGACATTTTGTGTTATTATTTATAAAGCGGCAGAGTTTGCATGTGTTATGTAGTTGTCAGGACTAAATTTAATTTGGTAAATTTAATTGTCAAACTTAAATCAAGTTTCTGATAATGTAGACAAAAGGGAGATCTCCAGAGAGCAAGGGAACACAGAGGGTCAACAAGAACATGCTAGTCTTTGTAGGTTCTAAGTAATATTTTAGTTCTTCCATAGAAATGGAAATAGAAATGATAGAATAGCCTGAGTAGGTGGCTCTGTTGCTCTGAAATAAAGAACAGTAAAAAAAAAAAAAAAAGCTTTAATCTTCTAATTCTTTTACTGTTACTACTCTCTGAACTGCAAGTTAATCTTCTCAAGAATATTATATTATAGAAAATATAAGCAATGAACTTGACTCTAAAAGATGGCCTTATTTATTATGTCTGGCTGTGTTGGGTCTTCACTGTTGCTCAGGCTTTTCTCTAGTTGCAGCAAGCGGGAGCTACTTTCTTATGGCTTCTCACTGCTGGGGCCTCTCGTTGCGATGCATCAGCTGTTGGGGTGTAGGCTTCAGTAGTTGTGGCGTGTGGGCTCAGTATTTGCATCTTGGGGCTCTAGGGCACAGACTCAATAATTACGGTGCAAGAGTTCAGTTGTTCTGCAGCAAGTGGGATCTCCCCAGACCAGGGATCGAACCCAGGTCTCCTGCAATGGTAGCCAGATTCTTCCCCACTGAGCCACCAGGGAAGCCCTGAACTTGACATTTTAAGCTCTGAATTTTGGGACTTCTGTCCCCAGCAAACTTGTCCCTAGACATGCTTCCCTATCTTTCTCATTTTCTCTGACCTTTGGGGCAGAGTTATTTCAGAATATCATAGGGTTAATTTAAGAAACCTTTCTGAATGCCCTGGGCTAGTTCCTGACAGGACAGCTAACTCTGTAATTATTCTATTGCTAACCTAAGGCTGATTTTGCTTTCTGATCCTAATCTTTTGGCTAAGAAAATCTCAGGAGCGAAGTAGTAATATTTTTGGAATGAGGAAAATATTTTTGTGTGAAATAAGGTCCTGGTAAAGCTGAATGCTTCAGGGAAGAGAGATTTGATAGTGAACAAAGCCAACAGGTACATCAATCCATAGCTGGGAGGCAGTTCCTATAAAGGCCAAGGCTCTCAAATACAATGGATCTCTATTTCTGTCTCAAGGTTTCCTGTTTTATGTGGATATTCTGCAATATTCCAACAGAGCTGCTAAAAATATATATCACATGCAGAGTTAGAAAAGAAATTTTGATTTGCCTCCCTATGAATATAAATGTATATAGACACATATACATATGTATCTATGTTGTTGTTCAGTGGCGAAGTCATGTCCGACTCTTTGTGACCCCATGGAATGCAGCACATCAGGCTTCCCTGTTCTCCACTATCTCCTGGAGTTTGCTCAAGTTCAAATATATACATGTATATACATTGTTATTTTAGTTTGTCATTATCTCAACAAGTTATGTCATATTTTTTTCATTTTCCAATTGTATAGTCCTTCCCTTTGCCTAGGTTGGCAAACCAAGATGATAATAATAATAATAAAAATAATAATCTACTGTTTTGATTTCAACTCTCTTTTTATGGATTGCAGATTATTTTTCCAAGTTTAACTTAATTCCCCCTTGACTACAAATGTTTAACTGATACAAGTCTGAAACAGAAAATGCTGTACTTTTTGTCAGAAAGAAGGAGATGCTCTAAGTTCATTTTTAAATGAGCCCAACACATGAGGAAAATTACTGTGAATATGAAATTTTAATTTTTTCTTAATTTCAACAGGTTCATTCTAATAAAATAATAACAGCTTGGCCTACTAGACATTCCTTTTTTTTTTCTTTTACAAGACAGTTTACTTTAGCAACTTATCACCCTCCTTAAAAGTACTGTTTTTTTAAATCTCTATATCTCTATGAACCACTCAGATTTTCTGTACCATTAAATTTTCAAAGTTTAACAAGTGGGCAGGAAACACACCCTTTCATACCCTGAGTTAAGCTAGGAAGCAGAGAAGAAAAATAAATAAATAAAGTAAATAAAGGATCTTTTTTCAATGCACAAATGAAAGGAAACTAAAGTTTGAACCTTGGAAAGACAGGACAGTGTATTCAAGGTATCCTCTGGGAGAAAACTGCTGGGGGAGTTTTCTCAAATCAACATGAATGTTTGTTTTAGTTCCATTGCTGTCATCATTATTATTTTGAGAAGAAAAAGTCCAAAAATGTATTACATTTATGGGCTTCTACCTCTTACTGTAAGGAAACAGTTGAATACAACTTAGCACAAGGCACATCCCACTCCTCTTGCAGACATGATATTAAAGATGTGTAATTGACAAATTTAGTTGATTTGATGAATATAGTCACTTTGCCCTATACATTTTTATTTAGAGGTACCAGCCATTTGTATACATCTAAAACTTGCACCTGGTCTAAAGCTCAACATTCAGAAAAGTAAGATCATGGCATCTGGTCCCATCACCTCATGGGAAATAGATGGGGAGACAGTGGAAACAGTGTCAGACTTTATTTTGAGGGGTTCTAAAATCACTGCAGATGGTGACTGCAGCCATGAAATTAAAAGACGCTTACTCCTTGGAAGGAAAGTTATGACCAACCTAGATAGCATATTAAAAAGCAGAGACATTACTTTGCCAACAAAGGTCCGTCTGCTCAAGGCTATGGCTTTTCCAGTGGTCATGTATGGATGTGAGAGTTGGACTATGAAGAAACCTGAGTGCCGAAAAATTGATGCTTTTGAACTGTGGTGTTGGAGAAGACTCTTGAGAGTCCCTTGGATTGCAAGGAGATCCAACCAGTCCATCTTGAAGGAGATAAGTCCTGTGTTCATTGGAAGGACTGATGCTGAAGCTGAAACTCCAATACTTTGGCCACCTCATGTGAAGAGTTGACTCATTGGAAAAGACCCTGATGCTAGGAGGGATTGGGGGTAGGAGGAGAAGGGGACGACAGAAGATGAGATGGCTGGATGGCATCACTGACTCGATGGGCATGAGTTTGAGTAAACTCCGGGAGTTAGTGATGGACAGGGAGGCCTGGCGTGCTGCGATTCATGGGGTTGCAAAGAGTCGGACACAACTGAGCGACTGAACTGAACTGAAAACTTGCACCAGTTGCAGAATTCTAGTTGCTTAGGTCTAGGAAGACAGAAAAGATAAAGCTGCAGAGTGAGATAGCAACCTGTAAGTCAAGCCATCATTTAATTACTATTGTGAGTACTTGCTACATAGGAATCCAGAAAAAGAAACCAGAAGAAAATCATATGGATTTTTTTTCTCTCTTTTTTTTTTTCCTTATAAATTAAGATTATCAGGTATATACCAATGAGTGGTTTCCCTAGCTCAAAAGAAAACAATACGTGTTTGGTGCCATGGAGGAGGACAAGACCATGTATTTAATTACTTTAGCCTTATTTGTCCCTTGGCATGATCTGTTCCCTGATTTCACCCCAGTCAAGCTTGCTTTGAAGTCTCTGAGAAATTAAATCAACCACTTGGATCATATGTGTCCGAAAGAATGTGGTTTCTCAGGTATGAGCAATCTATCAATCCCCTGGTCTCCTTTCACTTTGGCATTCTGACAATCCTAGCAAATTCTCAGGCAAAGATTGCAGCTTATGTTTTGGTCACAGCAGCCCTTACTCAAAAGTTTTAAAATTGCCAGTTCAAGGTACAGCTTTCACATGTCAAGGGACTGGTACATTTCTTGGCGATTGTGCAAACATTCTTAATTATGCCTCCAGGTAAACACACTGCTGTCTTCTTGGACAACTGAGAAGTACAAAGAATGTTTATGTGCAGGTCCAGTCCTTCCAAGTATTTGGGCTTAGACACACCTGAGTTACCACCCTCCTCTTATTGGCTGATAAAGTTGCCCCACCTGATTTGTAACTTTACCCGCCACCGTCCATAGCTGGGGGCAACTCGGCCAGCCAACACTGGATTTAGTCTAGTTAGAAGTAGCTGAGCAGCTCTTATTTGAAAAAACCCCTGAGTTCTGAGTTCATTACTGCAGGAAACCTGCTCTCCCTCAGCGTGCAGAGAACCTGGCTTCAGAGCAGCCTCACCAGCTCAGGCGTCTGCTCGGATAAAACCCAACCTGGAGGAGAATGGCTGCCTACGCCCTGCAAATCGCCGGGCTGGTGCTCGGTGGTGTGGGCATGGTGGGCACAGTGGCTGTCACGGTCATGCCTCAGTGGAGAGTGTCTGCCTTCATTGGAAGCAACATTGTGGTCTTTGAAAACCTCTGGGAAGGACTGTGGATGAGTTGCATGAGGCATGCTAACATCAGAATGCAGTGCAAAATCTACGACTCGCTGCTGGCTCTCTCTCCGGACCTGCAGGCAGCCAGAGGACTGATGTGTGCCGCCTCCGTGCTCGCCTTCCTGGCTTTCATGACGGCCGTCCTTGGCATGCAGTGTACCAGGTGCATCGGGGACGACGAGACGGTGAAAGGTCACCTTCTGCTGACCGCCGGAGTGCTCTTCATCATCACAGGCCTCGTGGTGCTCATCCCCGTGAGCTGGGTGGCCAACTCCATCATCAGAGACTTCTACAACCCAATAGTGGATATTGCCCAAAAACGGGAGCTGGGAGAAGCCCTCTACATAGGCTGGACCACGGCCCTGGTGCTGATGGTCGGAGGGATGCTCTTCTGTTGTGTTTCTTGTTGCCATGAAAAGAGCAGTAGCTACAGATACTCCATCCCGTCCCACCGAACAACCCAGAAGAGCTACCACACCACAAAAAAGTCGCCGAGCGTGTACTCCAGAAGTCAGTACGTGTAGTTATGTCTCTTTCTAAACTACCTAGAAAGCCACCCAGATGACATAGATGTCCACTCTTTCCAAAACTGAGACCCAAGGGAGCATTGCTTGGCTGTTCTTAAGTGCCCAGCATTACTCACAGGAACTAATTACATCAGCTCTTTATGATTCTATCATCGATTTCAGGTGAACGAGAAATTCTATACATTGCTTTGATTATTCTGGAAAGAACAGTAATTTGTTTTCTAAAATGGTTCATGTGTTTTCTCCTTTTCTTAGTTACTTCAAAATGACATTGTTAGAGACAATTCTTTTATAACTGTGATTTCTCTATGACAGAGTGTTATGTATATAGATGAGAGTGACATTTCTGTGTCACATAAGTAGAGACAGGCTTATATAGTTCTATTTTAAATGAAACACTGATTCATTACACTGAATAAATAGAATTCAACTATTGCTTTTCAGGGGGACCAGGGGTAAGTTTGAAGAAGGTTAATATTAATTGTTTAAAAACAGCTTAGTGATGAATGCACTTGATTTATAATGAAGGTTAAAATGAAAGCTTTAATCAGCAGGGTAAAGGGAGCTAAATGGCTTTTTGATATCTCGTTTTTCAGTCTAGGAGTTAGAAATCCGAATTCCTTTCTCCTCATTCTCTAGAGGCCTTCCTTTTTTTGTATATTAAATGATTGTCTTTTAAAAGGCAGATATTTTGTCAAGGGGCTTTGCATTCAAACTGCTTTTCCAGAGCTATACTAAAAAGAAAGATAAAGCTATAGTCTAAGAAATATTAAAGAGTTCAAGAAAGTGAAGATTTTTTTCCCTCAAGTTTTTGTGGTTGGAGAAGGATGTATTTTGACAAGAAATCTTATATATATATGTACATATATATGTATATGTACATATATATATGAATATTTTAATAACTATTGTATAGAGACTTTGGACTTTCATTAATATAAATAACAGAAGAGAAAAATTGTATACCTTTATTTGATTTCCAAAAAAATAAAACCGAGTTGTCCTTTGTGAACTGCATCTTCTTATATGTGGATATTTAAGTCAAAATTGTCATTTCAGTTTTCAAAGGTGAAATTTTCATTTGTTCCAATTTTGTTCAGTTTTACTAAGGTACAGGTATACTATATCTTTGTGTTTCCCTCCAGATTTGATTGAACTATTAATCTGATTTGAAAGTTTGTGTATATATTTTTCTAGCTTAATCGACTATGTGTATCTGCTTTATATCCTTTGTATTAATAAATTGTGCTTTTTATATTAATTTGATATTTCATTTTTACTCATTTTTAAAATATTTTAATAACTTGTAAAGAGTTTTTAAAAACCTGATATTTTCAGCTTTGCAATTAAGAAAAGGCTTTCAAAATCACATTTTAAAGATAATGATAGATTCAGCATTAATTTTTGAGAATACAGAGTATCATATATCATTTAACATGATATGCTTACCATGATTGGATTCACACACTAGTATTTGATGCTGATAATATATTTGTAAATTTTTAAGATAATACTATAGGTTCCAAAAATCTATATCCTACAAATATTATTATGTATGTAATGGCTATTTATGTACAAACTTTCCATAGGGTAGGGAAATATGTCCCTGCCTCTGAAAAATAGTGTTAATTAATAACAGTGGGTAATGTTTTAGGGACATGTGTTATAAACTAAGACCTCTATTGTTTTATATGAATTATATCATTAAATCTCTTATAAGACTGACATGATTAGCTCAGTTCACAGAGGAGGACCCCTCAAAACAGTTCATCGGTTAATCAGTAAGTGTCAGGAAATGAAAATAAGGACTGTCTGATTTCATAGTCCAAACACTTTCTATTCAGTGCAGGCAGATTTTCTTCAGTGATGTCTAGTTAGTGAACTGATTTTTGTATGTGAAAATAACTTGGTTAACTACTGTTAGTTGGGAAAACTTTTAGTGTTTTTTCTGAGATTGGTGATTTTCCAATAACTAAATATTGATCTATCCTAGGCAATTCTGCCCTCTTGGGTCAAAACATTCATGAGAACAGAAATAAAGAAAAACTAAGTGAGCATCTTGGAGAAAAAGAAAAAAGAAAAATTATACCCAATTTTCTAAATATTGGCCTTTAATCAAACATTATTTTCAGTTATAAAGTTCTCCCAAATGGCCCAACTCAGTTTGTTATTTGCATCTTTTTCCCCTTAAAGAAAATTATAACACTACTGGCTTTCCTTGAGTAAAACCTTTTGATACTCACCTGTTGAGTATCTCAAACCTTTTTCCAACTTTCCACTTTACTAACGCCTCCTCTCTTTCCTACTTTCTAGATTTCCGTAACCAGCCTGCAGGATCTCCTTCCTCCAGCTACATTCCGTGTTCCCAGTTCAGTTCTTTCTGAAATGCAAGGGAGGGATGGGATGATTGGGAGATTGGGATTGGCGTATACCCACTACTATGTATAGAATAGATAACCTAATGAGAAGCTGCTGTATGGCTCAGGGCAGTCTGCTCAGGGCCCTGCGGTGACCTAGATGGGAGGGCAATCCAGAAGAGAGGGGATATGTGTTCGTGTACCGCTGATTCACGTCGCTGTATGGGCGGAAACCACACTGTAAAGCAACCATACTCCAATAAAAAAAAAAAAATTAAAAAAAAATCAAATCAGACGCCATCACAGCCCGCCCATATTATCTGTAAGACTGCTTAGTTTCCCATAAGGTAAATCCAAATGCCTTAGCAAATAATGAGAGATAAGAAGGAAAATCCATTTTATAATCTTAACAGCAAACTTTATCATACTGTAACATCAGTGTATAACCAGTATGCTAACAGTTATAAAACAGACGTCCAGAAACTAGAATAATTCCAATGCCAAATGTCTTTTCAGTATCCTGAAAGAGATGCACTGGGGTTAGCAAGTGCTTTGGCTGGAGGCAAATTATGTGCAGAAGGAGGTTTCATAATGTAGTTTTATGGAGAAACCATATGACGTATAAAACAAATCACAGGGAAGTAAGGGATATAGTTTTGTGCTCTCACCTTACAGCTGGACTTTTTTCTCTTTCATATTGTACCACCTGCTGCCCCCACCATGAACCACGTCTGTTGACTCTGTTTCCAAAATGACCCCCTCCCACACTGCAAAAACTACAATTAAGGTACATTATCTTAAGTGTCATGTGTGTCTTTAGTCACTCAGTTGTGTCCAGCTCTTTGTGATCCCATGGACTACAGCCCACCAGGCTCCTCCGTCCATGGGATTTTCCAGGCAAGAATACTGGAGTGGCTAGCCATGCCCTCCTCCAGGGGATCTTCCCAACCCAGGGATCAAACCCAGGTCTCCTGCACTGCAGGCAGATTCTTTACCCTCTGAGCCACCAGGGAAGCCCACCTTAAGTGTTAGGTGTTTGGTAATGACCAAGACACAGTTTTTGTTCTCAAAGAGTTTGCAGTCTAATAAGAAAGGACAAAAGGAAGAAATGTAGTCTGTATTGCAGGCCTATCAGGTGACGCTAGCGGTAAAGCATCTGCCTGCTGATGCAGAGATGCCAGTTCCATCCCTGTGCTGGGAAGTTTCCCTGGAGAAGGGGATAACAACCCGCTCCAGTACTCTTGCCTGGAGAATTCCATGGACAGAGGAGCCTGGCAGTCTGCAGTCCATGGGGCTGCAGAGTCAGACACAACTGAGCACACACATACCAGGTGCTTGATCTTTTCTGTCTTTACCCATCAAACCTCTAAGAATGCTATGAATTACATATGGATTACAGATGAAATCAGGAGAGCACTGAGCCTCAAAGATACATATATATATAATCCCCTAATTCAAGAACCTGTACTCTTCCTACTATAATATGGTCCAAAGACATCTCTTCCAGAGTAAGCTTCCTGCACAATAAATGTCATCTCATTGCCCTAGCTCCAAGCCATCCAGTGACTCACTGGTCACAGAACCCTCTCACCCTCATCATCAGCCTTTGCTACCCCTAAGCTTGTCTCTTCTCTCTCCCAGCTTCTAAGTAACTTACTACTTCTCAGTTCCTGACATCCATTACCTTTCCCCTTGGGAAATATACAATGTTTTAGACTCCCATTGTATTTCCAACATCATGTCTTAAATTCACCAGGCCTCCTTCCTTGTCCTGAAGGCCTCCCAGAGCTGCTGGAACAGAATCCCAGCAAGCCCCTGGCCCCCACTCTGATCCCACCGAGCAAGAGGAGCCAAGTGGCAGCTGGACTGACCCAACCAACAGGCAGAGCAAAGAGAACTGCTTTCTGTGAAGCTTCAGGCTCTGCCAGATTCCAGGAGGAAAGAGAGGCTGTGTTCAATTCTGAGTCAGGAGAGGCAATGGATTCCTGGTGCAGATGCCTGAGTTTGGGCCTGAAGAACTGTACTGGGCGTGAGAACAGTAGGGAGGGAAATGGGACCTTAACTGCTTCAGAAATAGTCCTGGAGGGCGGGTGGCATGTGTATACTTACAGGCTTCCCAGGTGGTGCTAGGGGTCAAGATCCCGGCTGCCAATGCAGGAGACAGAAGAGACCCAGGTTCTATCTCTGGGTTGGGAAGATCCCCTGGAGAAGGAAATGGCAACCCACTCCAGTAGCCTTGCCCAGAGAATCCCATGCACAGAGGAGCTTGGTGGGCTGCAGTCCATGGGGCCGCAGAGTCAAACATGACTGGGTGACTTAGCGTGCACACACGCATGCACGTAGTCTCAAAGGCAGCAATGTCAGGGCAACAACACTGCGCAAGACTTACATAGAGGCTGGGTCCTCATTGTCCCAGGGCCTTGGAGAGCACTCGCATTGAGAGTGGGGATGAAGAGAGAGACAGACAGACAGAGGGAGAAAGCAAGAGCTGGGGTACACAGAGGCATGTCCTTGGGTCCCAGGAGAGAGACAGCACTTTCAGGTCATTAGACCCCCAGCCAACAGTGAGAATCCCTGTCACCCTAGGGTGAGCTATTGCTAATTACAACTTAAGTTCCACGAGAAAAGAGATCCTGGAGTCACTTAAGAGAACACTAAATGGGACTCAACAATCAGAAAAAGGAAGTGCAAACTGAGTCCCCACAACTGGCAGGGGTCCTTTGAGGAAGAGATCTCCTGGGAAAATGAGAGGATGCCTTACATAAACAAACAGATGTCTGTAAGAGCCTAGGCAGACTGCATCATGGGATTACACAGCTTCTTGTTCCTAAAATAACATATAACTTTTGTATTAAAAATATCTAAAGGGAATGGCGGAGGCTTGAGGGAGGTCACTGCTATGGGGAAAAACTGGAGGTTTGGAAGATCAAGCTCCAAACAGATCAAACATGGAAAAAAATGTAACTCAGAAGGGAAAGTATAAAGGCCTTGGAGAACAAATTAAAGGAGCTAAAAGGCAAATTTAGAGTGAGGGAGAAAAAACAGGTGAAAGCAGGGGACATCACTTTAAAAAACAAGTTGATGTTAAAAAAAAAAAGAGACTCAAACGTACAGATAAAAAGTACTCACTGAGGTCCTAAGAAAATGGAAAAATTTTTAAATGTAGCCAAATTCTTAAATTCCAAGGGCAAAATTAAAGTATGTAGCTTTCACCAATCATAAGACATTACGTAGCAGCCAAGACAAGGAGAGCATACCACTTCTGACAAGTATTTCAACCACAAACCTTGAAGCTAGATGATGGTGGATTAACAAGTAAAGATAATGAAAGACCATAAAAGACCATAACCTAGTAAGTCTATTTCAAACCAAAGCTACATTGGCGTTGATGACAAAGAAAGGCATTTTGTGGCTAGCCCAGGACTCAGCAGCTGTGTGTCTCATTAAGCTAATCTGGAGGAAAGACTCAAATGATGAATCTTTAAAGAGACTTCAAGGAGGGGTAATTGGAAAGGAGAAGGACTTTGTTCGGCCATGACTCTTGCAATAGACAGAAGGAATTTATTGGACAAGAATAGGAGAGGAGGTTTGAAGTGGGTCAGGCTGCCATCTTCTGGAACTTTTCTCAACATCAGTGTCCAGGAACCACTTCAGATACCTCAAGGTTGATCCGCAGTTCGAAACTGCTGCCTTTCTAGTTCTGCAGGTATATTCGATATCTTCAGCATGGGAAGTAAAACCAAACCAAACCAAATCAAACAAAAAGAAAACATTTAAAAATCTAGCCTCCAGCTTCTTGCTTCTTTTCATCTTCTGTCTCGGGATCCATACTGTCCAGATTCCATGTCACGACTTTGTCATCCAGAAATTCTTTCCTCAACTTGATCATCTGCATGCCCTTCTCATCTT